TGAGCCTTCTCTGCAACTCCTATTTCTGTTATTTTGTCCTCACTGTTCATTTCAAGGTTTTTCCTGTTTTTTTTTTTTTTTTTTTTCCTGATATGTAGTCTTAGTATGTAGCCTAGGCAGGCCTGGAACTTGCTGTGTAGCCAGGATTGTCCTTAAATTTGTGACCTCCCTGCCCCAGTCTCTGTAGTGTTGGGATTTTATGTGTATGTCACCACACATGACAGCTGTGAGCTGGAATAGGTTTTAAAAAACAAGCTGTGTAGATGATGGGAGATAGATCCTTAAACTAGAACTAAAGCTAGCAGAATTCTATTTGTGAAAATACAGTATGTTTTATGCCAGGGCACAAGAGTCAGTCTGCCTAGGTTTAAAATCCTGTCTTTGTCATGGAGTAACTTCTCTCAGCTTCAGTGTCCTTACCTGTCCTGTCCTTACAAGGCTCAGTGACCCAAGAGCAAAGGGACCCCAGGACTTGAAGTGACAGGCTCTTCAAGCCTAAAAGTCCTGCAAGAGCATTAGCTTCTCTGCAAACTGCAGCAGCATCTCTGCTCTGAACACTAGCAAGACCCAGAAAGATTGCACAGCAGCCCCAAGCCATTCCCAGGAGTTAAAAGGATCCCTGGGCTCCAGCCCCTCTGACGTACAGCATTCTGACCCAACAGCTAGGGTCAGTCTAACAAGCCTTCCTAAGTAGTCCTCAAGTCACCCAGGCTTGACTGCCAAAAGTGTATCCCCAAAACCAAGCCCCTGGAGCAAGTGAGGTCCAGCTGAGCTGAACTGCCAAGGCAGATCGGAAGTCAGTTTTCCTTAAGGAAAGTGGAAGTGGCACCATTGCACCTTGCCCCATGGGGCCTGAGGCTCAGCGACACTTCCCCCTTAATGCTATCAGATGTTCAGGTGTCCCATACATAGCTCACCTGGCTGAGCTCTGGAGGTTTGTAATCCTGCTGGAGCACGATTGTCTCGGGTCTATTCTAGATTTATCTCAGCCCCTGGAATGGGAAGCTCAAGCTCTTTAGGCTGAGAAGACCCAGGTAGGGACATAATTTGCCAGCCTCTATACTGTAAGGTGGGAAGGCATGGGCAAATTATTAATACCCCCAGACGTCCCAGGCAGGGGGGTGATACACAAAAATACTTTCCAGTTAGACCCTTAGGTAGAACGTTAAATTGTTCCTGAGCATGGTGGTACGTGCCTGTAATCTCAACACTTAGGAAGCAGAGCCAGGAAGATCTAAGGCTAGCCTGGGCCCTGAAGAAAAGGTCTGAATTATCCAGATACCATATTCTGAATAGATTGGATAAATTAAGCTCTGCTGAAGTAACTACACCTGAGGGGTGGGGGGACTCTCTCCATCTCCACCATCATCACCCTGCCACTTAGGGGATGTTGCTGCTGGGACTCTCCTGAGGTAGCTGACCTGAAGAGCTGAACAACCAGTGCTGAGGCCAGAGGTTCCAGCCCATCTGTCTAATTTCCCTTTCCTACTATAGCCTTTGCAACTAGGTGGCTGCCCCAGTCTTCAGAGCCATAACATAAGGACAGTAATATCATCAAGTCCCATTGTGGGACTTAAAGGTGTGTGAGATGTCTTTGAAGTGTGCCTGGCACTTAGTAAACAGGAGGTCTTAGTTAAGTTCCCATCTTGGCTCTCAAGCTGTTTTTGTCTGGGATTTGGTAACTCTGCTGAACGGATGCCACAAAAGATTTCTGCATAAAGACCCTTTGAAAGGGGGAGGGTGATGTATATTGAGTTCCAAAGGGCAGTTAGTAGATGTGCTTTGCTTTCTGAAGGAACTTGAGTTAGATGCAAAACCTTTGCAACAGACTTCAAAAATACTGTTTACCCTGCTGGCTGAGTCAGAACCCCTGACAGGGGTCCTGGTGCCATTACCTATCCTTCAATCTGGCTTCAGCTGTGTTTCTGCCGAGACTGAGCGCATTCATACCTTGTGCCCGCTCGGTGCTCTGCCACAGGGCTTGTTGGAATGCAGGCAAGCCATCTTTTCAGCCTTCTCACTTGGGCCTTGCTCGATGGTAGTACTAAAATAGGCTGTTCTTCATCTACCATTCTTGAAGTAATGAGTTTTGCAAAAGCCAGAGTTTAACCCACTAGACAGCCAAGCCTGAGGAAGAGCCTGTGGATTTCTGTTTGCCTTCCCAAATAGAGTTTAGGGCAATGTATGAGGTGGAAGAATGGTGGTGGTCTAAGGTGTGGGGAAGGTGATAGGAGGTGAAGAAAGATGAAGTTACTGGTCTCCACACGTGCAAACTTACTTCATGGCTCTTCATAAGACATGTTGAGAAAGTATGTGTTAGTATGACCTGGGGTAAGTTGTGACCGCCCATCTGATACTGTTGCAGGACAGGTTGACTGCAGCCCTTATGAGCCAGACAAGGCCTCCTCCAAATCTCTAAAAAGCCTGGTGACCCCATGGTACATTAGAGGACTTTTCTGTGGTAAAGCCAGGAGTCAGTTGGGTTTCCTGTGAGTAAGCTTCAAAAGGGAAAATGTGCTCTTTGATCTTTACATTTTATGGAGGAAGGGAGAATGGCTCAAATCTCTTACAAGAGGGAAAAACTAATTTCATTAGGAATACTCCTCATTGTGATGTGAGGTAGGGCAGACAAGCCTGCTGGCTGGACCGAGGGGCACTTTCTTGGCTGAACACACCCAACATGATGGGTGTGTTTAAAAGTGTGCAAAACAAGTGACCCTGGACAATTCACAACCAGCTGAGCAGGTCCCCCTCTCTGTGACCTGTGCTAAGTGTCAGCTGCCCCAGCAGGCTTGCCATGACTGCCGGGCATCAGGATTGTTTGCCTCTGATGTTCATTGCAGGGTGGGGCCCTTATACACCTGCAAACTTCTCTGGGCAGAATTATCCAGCAGTCTCCCCACCCCCACCCCCCAGTAAATTAAAGACTACAGGGGTAAAAAGGAATCAAGGATCCAATATTTAAAAAGTTATACCAGAATTTTTCCGTTCTAGTGCTGAAAGTGGC